AGGTCTCTTGAAAAACGCACCCTTTTCGAAGGGTGTAGCTCCCTTACATAACATTTTTTTGTCCCAAAATTGAATATTTTTTTACTTATGATGCACAAAATTAATTTATCAATTGCCTATATAAATTTTAATATTTACAGGTAAATAATGGACTTTACCAACTTGTTGGAACACCCGGTGTCAAAAATTCAATAAAAATTAGAAAAAATTMAAAGGMAAAATTCGCTTCAAAAACAGYCAGAATAGTAACAATCATTTATAACATAAAATCAATAAATAATTGAGTAAWAYAGATAAACTAGTTAATTTAATTGTTGTTTTTGAAAATTATGTTTTAAATAATTGCTTGAAAGCCACATAAAAGTTGTTTTATAGACAAAACGGTATTTTACAAGATCCTGTTTATAGCCAATTGTGGCAAAACTGCAATCTACAAGTTTTTATTTGTTTTGCTTTCAAAGTGCATAACCGTAATTGTAACTTTTCGCGCCTCGTTCCATTTTGAAAGTGACGTACCCTTTGGGTTCGTCAGCGGACTTTCTAATTTCATCCCTCAACGTCGTCGTCGTAATTGCATTCTCTGCTTTTTCCGCTTCCTTCGCTTCCTCTTCCAAGGCTTTGATGTAATTCCGAAACTGGCCGGGCGTCTCGGCAGGTTGTTGTTCTGTGTTCGGCGTGAACAGGTCGACAGGAAGGATAGCAGGTGTCAGGAGTGGGTTTCCTGCTTCATGAAAACCCACACTCGCCGGCATTCCACTGCTACCTGCAAGCGGCAGGATTTCAGGAGTTTGACTGAAGCCGTAAACGATTTCGTGTTGGTAATAGGCGAGAGGTGATTGTGAATATTGTGCCGAAATGATGGAAATTGACAGGAATATTGCTAAAATTATAATTTGGGACGTGGGTACCTGAAAGTTGATTCAGATTAGGGTATTTACAAGTTTATTACTCGATTATGTAAGCTTGTAAATTATATTCAATTAATATTGTAGTTGTTTTGAGAAAAGGATCACTTGCAATTTTAATTTTGACCGCTTTTCACACTTAGTTACCTTGATCATAATTTATGTAATATGTAATTTACTTTTTTTTATTCTTAATATAAATATGTTTATGTAGGTAAACAGCAATCACAATTACTTCTGGTCGAGAATTGAGAAAGATGTAAATACGCGTTTATCAATCTTAAATAACCACAATTTTATCAATGTAAATGTTGCAGCTGCAACCTGACAGTTAATTAAAGTAATTAAAATAATTTTACAACTCTTTAAAACACTAAGAATTTCTGGTGTATTAATACTTAATAATTAATAATTCAGAAATAATGGTTTCTGAAACTTACCAGGTAATTGAAAAATAATAAAATGTAACGTTTTACAAAGACTAAAATTTTTCGAAATTTTTGTTTCTGAAAGTAAATAATTAAAAAAAAACACACGTTTGGTTCTATACTTTTTGATTACTCTTATACAGTTTCAAGAAATTACGAGTATAGTATTACACTGTTTTTTGTTGACTTTAGGTATCCCTAAGTAAAAAAAAACCTTTAGTGTTTAAATTGTTAATTATTATAATTTAATAAAAAATTGAATGAAAAATGTTTTTTAATTAGCGCTTTGACGTTAAAAACACCTACATTTCTTTGAATTATGAAAACACCGAAATTTTTTCAAGCAATTTGAAAACTAAGTTAGGTATTTAAAAATTATAAATCACTAGCAAACTTTTTTATTTTGTTTGCTGTGTAAAAACAAAAAATAATATAAGAAATGAAATATAAAAATGAAAATTAAATAAAAAAAGTAACAAAAAGTAAAAACTCAAAAAGAATAGTTTTTTGATATCAGTGTATAAGCCTAAAATCTTTTTTTAATTTGCGCTTTGACGTTAAAAACAACTTTTTCTTAAATTATAAAAACCTGGATTTTTTTTAAGCATTTGAAAATAGTTAGTTATTTAAAAGTTTGTATAGTTAAATCAGTTACAAGCTTTTGTATATGTTTGCAATGTAAATAAATCTTAAAAAGTAATATAGAAAATGTAATAAGGAATAAAGTAAGAAAAAAAAGTAACAAGAAATAAAAATTTAAAGAGAACAGTTTTTTGATATGTCTTAAAATTTTTGAAAAATGCTTTTTTAATCAATGTTTTGATATTAAAACAGTTACTTTTCTTTGAATTATAAAAATACCAATTTTTTTAAACAATTTTAGTTTTTTATATAAATCTAAAAGTTTAAAACCTTTTTTTCAATTTGCGTTTTGATGTTAAAAACACCTACTTTTTCTTGAATTATAAAAACCCAATTTTTTAACCATTTAAAAACGGTTAGTTATTTAAATGTTATATAGTTAAATCAGTTACAAACTTTTTATCTGTTTGCAATGTAAATAAAACTTAAAATGTAATATAGGTGAGTAAAAAGTAAGAAAAAAAGTTCCAAAAATAAACATTTGATGATAATAGTTTTTTGATATGAGTCTTAAAGTTTTTGAGAAATGCTTTTTTTATCAGTGCTTTGATGTTAAAACAGTTACTTTTCTTTGAATTATAAAAATATCGGAAATTTTTCAAGCAATTTGAAAACTAAGTTAAATATTTAAAAATTATAAAATAGTAACAAACTTTTTTTATTTAGTTTGTAATGTAAAAACATACAAAGTAATATAAATAACGTAAAATAACTACGAGATAAGTAAAAAAAGTAACAAAAAATAAAAATTGTATAAAAATAGTTTTTTGATGTCTCAAAGCTTTTGAAAAACTTTTTTTTAATAAGTTTTGGATGTTAAAACAGCAACTTTTCTTTGAATTATAACTACACTGAAATTTTTTCAAGCAATTTGAAAACTGAGTTAGTAGATATCAAGATTGCACTTAAAGTTATAAATCAATAACAATTTTATTTGGTTAGTTTGCAATAAAAAACAAAAGGTAATAAAAAGAAAAGAAATATAAGTAAAAAGTAACAGAAAGAGTAATAATAATTTAAAAATGAGGTTTTTGATAATAGAATCTAAAACTTTTGGAAAAATGCTTTTTAATTAGCGATTTTGCACTAGAAACACCTACTTTTGTTTGAATTAAAAACACTGAATTTTTTAAAGCAATTTGGAAACTAAGTTAAATATTAAACAGTTATAAATCAGTAACAAACTTTTTTTTTAACAGTTTGCAATGTAACACCACAAAAAGTCAATGAATGATGTATATTTGAGCTTGAGTTGAGTTCAAATTCACATTTTTATTTGAAAACTTGATATTTTGCAGTAGAATGTAGTCTATTTATTAAATTATTCATACCGAGCCCTATTCTGCATTTTATTAAAAATTACGCTTGCTAAAGCAGGACAATTAACCACAGTTTGTGTAATGAAATGAAATGCAAATCTTAAACAATCATCATTCTCATGTTTTCACCAAATACACATGCACACACGACACTCAAACTCAATTCGCAAGCAACACATGTCTCAAGTAAAAGTACTAACCATCGTGTGTTTAGGTACAGGACTTTTACCCAAGCCGATCGAGAATAAACTGAAATAACTGAATGAAATACATAATAAGTTGTGGGAGAGACTGGCACCCCTCTTATTCATTTTACAGTAAAAACATTGAAATATCATGAACAAGTTCATGGAAAAGTGCAATTCATTCTTGTTAAAATAGAAGCCTGTTGTAAGAATTAAAAATTGTAATTTAAAAAATGCGAATTGAAACATATTTTTATATAAATGTTGCTTAACAAAAATTTCAATTGCAAAAATTGTGTTTCATTTTTGGAATTTAAAAATTGGGTTAATTGATTGAATTTAATAAAAATGGTTCAGAAAGGTATCACGAATCTGTTCGAAGGTTAGATAACAGACCAATAATTAACATTAATTTTTGCTTCAGTTCATTTTTTCATTACACCACTATTGTTCTAATAGTTCCTACAGCCAAACTACTAATTAAAGTGAAAATTACAAAACAGAGTTTTCAATGTCATTTGATGAAAATATTGGGTCTATACCTTTCACTTAATTATGGCAACGATTAACAAAGCGTAAATTTTTCATATTTTTTGAAAGTTTTAATCAAGTTTAGAAAAAAAAAGTAAATTTGAAACAATTCTGCATAGCCAAGAATAAATCAGTGTCAAGTTTTTAATCTTGAACTTGTGCAGTTACTCTTTTTGATAATAATAAAGCTTATTTTAAGTAATTGTGAAAATTTAAATCACCTACATTTTCAAATTGTTATGAAAATGTTTCTTAAAACAGGATTTAAATGTTAAACGTCTATGTTTCCTAAAACTGATATACTTTTAATTATGTAATAAATTATTAAATATTTGACGTCATTCTCAAATATTAGATTTTATTAATTTTAGCAAAATGCACTTTGTATTTAGTTTCCAATAAAAAAATTACACATTTTATTTTTATTGACAAAAATTTGATAATTGTTTTCCACCAATAAAAGATATTTACCAATCTTTAGCAATAATGATTAATTGCAAAACCTTCTGATTTATTCATATTTGGATAGGACCATATTATGGTATATTTTATGACTATTGACAAGGTCACTTATACTTGAAAAACCCGGGAAAGGTGTGTCTGGTGATATGGTGGTGTGTCTATGACGTATAAATCTTTAAAAAGAAGCGAAAGTAAGGCAATCTTGCGTTATATAAAATATGTGTAATAGCTCGTGGTCTCGGAGGCTGTCTGAAATAATGATGAGAATCTGGTTCTAAAAAGTAGGTATTCCTATTTAAATCAGAACGGAAAACTCTAATTATGAAGAGAATTAGATATTTATTGTGATTGGCCGGTTGCAGAAAAAAAATCACATGTAAATCACATGTATTTTGCTTTTTTTTTCTATTTCGCGTCTTTAACAAAGTTATTAAAAACTTGTATCAGTGTCTTAACAGTCTAGTGTATTTTTTGTTTTCAATGTTGGTGACAATATCGTTGGAAAATATTATATTAAATAACAAGTTCTTGAAGCGTTGAAGCACGAATTTAAGTTAAGTAAAAAACGAGGGTTTCAAGAGGATTTATAGAACGAGTTTTTTATACTTTTTTTGTACTTCTTTTTTGTAATTTGCCTTCTTTTTTCGTTTTTAAACACAATTTTTTTACTTTAAAAAAGGCGGCATAAAAGACGTAAAATATAAAAAATTCAAAGAATCGTTTATTTCTCAACTCGGTTTGTTTCGAAATTTAGAACCCTTGCTGAATAGATAGATGCCTTTGCAGTGCTGCCAGGTCTGGTAAAATGTCTACTGATTTAGTGAAAACTTTTGTAAAAATGTAATATCTAATAATTTTTTAGAAATAAACTGCAATTAAGTACAGCTGAAAAGTTATGTAATTTGAAATAATTTTTTAAAGTAGAGCATTAAATTAACTTATTTGTGCATTTTATACGTTTTTTAATCCAAAAACTCAATAATTTTGCCAAAATTTTTTAAAACCAAGTTTAAAAATTACCAAATTAGTTAAGAAAATAGTTTTATTTGTTTTTTTTTTGAGATTAAACTTATCAGCGTCAAAAAATCGCTAATCCGAGTCAAAAAACGTATTATTTTAGCCTTTTTTGGAGTGTTTTTGTATGTTTTTCAACGAACGAGCAAAATTTTGTTAAAAACAAACCAAAAATTTACCAAATTAGACCAAAACTAGTATTATTTATGCATTTTTAGAGTGCTTAAGCACGTTTTGCTAAAACTGGCTAAAAAAAATAATATAATTTAGATTGAATTGATGCTATTTAAACTTGTTTTAATTTGTTTTTGAGTCAAAGATACTTATTTATTTTAAAAATCTTGCTGAAACATGCCTTAAACTTACAAAAATTAATCCAAATTGTTGTTATTTTGTTTGTTTCATTTGTTTTGAGTAAAATTTTATCAAAAAATAAATCGAAAAATACAAAATTTGGTTGAAAATGATGTTAGGTAGGTATTTTACCTTTTTCAAGTTTTTAAGCACGTTTTTAAGCTAAAATTTTAGTTTTTACGAAATTTTGCTTAAACAAACTAACAAAGCCAAATCAAGTTATTATTTTTGTCTTTCTCAAGTGTTTTAGTATGTTTTTTTCTGTAAAACGTAAATAGTTTGCAAAATTTAGTTAAAAACAAGCCAAAAAATTTCAGAATTTGACCAAAAACAGCCTTATTTTTGCCTTTCTTGAGCGTTTCAGCACATTTTTGTAAGAATTTGAAAAATTTATTTAAAAAATGTAAACTTTCGATAGTTATTAGAGAAATCTGGTGAAAATATGCATGTAAATCTGAAAATTTTTTCTAGTTCAGATCTGGCAAATTTAATTTTTTTGAGTTAGCAACACTGTAATTCGTATTTTCATGTACTATTTTACTGTCACAAAGCATTTGGAAAAGAGTCCGAAAATTCTAACAAACACAGTAATTTAGTTATTTACCTAACGTCTTTGAAAAATACCATTTCCCACATAAACAATTTGTTTGCAAATGTAGGAAGTTGCTTTCCACATATGTTAGGTAGTTACCTACAATATTTTTTGTAAAAAAAACAAAATAAAATAACTTATAATTCAGTTTGTTTTGCTGGGGGGTTGGTAACAGGTAAAATCTAGATTGATAATATAAATATAATATAATCTATCAGCTTAAATAAACTGTCATTTATTGTAAAAAAAATCGTTTACCTTATTTTTTATTTAGTTTGCCATGTAAAAACATACAAAGTAATATAAAAAATGTAAAATAACTACTAAAAAAGTAACAAAAAATAAAAATTGTATAAAAATAGTTTTTTGGTATCTCAAAGCTTTTGAAAAACTTTTTTTTAATAAGTTTTTGATTCTTCTTCTTGGATCTTCTTGATATGGAAACGATGAATAAAAACACGATTAGCCCGTCACACCAAACTTTTATTTAAAACACTTTTTGATAATAAACAGCAACTTTTTTTTGAATTATAAATACACCGAAAAATACAATTTCCCTTATAAACAATTTGTTTGCAAATGTAGGAAGTTGCTTTCCACATAAGTTAGTTATAATTTTTGTAAAAAAAATCAAAAATAAAAGAACTTAGAATTCAGTTTGTTTTGCTGGTGGGTTGGTTTCAGGCAAAATCTAGATCGATAATATAAATATAATATAATCAGCTTAAAACTGTCATTTATTGTAAAAAAATCGTTTGCCTTAAATTCACAATGAGCGACAGTTAAGAAGTTAGAAGTAAAAACTGTTAAAAATTTTTGTTGACAGTAGCGATACCAACCTAATAAATAAAAGCATTGCAGTTAAAAAAAACTGGTTTCCGTAACCGGTAAATAGCAATCTGTGTACAAAATCAATTAGAAAGCACTTGTGTATTGTGTGTTGCCTGGGTGCAAAAAACCGTAGGCGACATCTCTCCACATGTCGTGTAATTTTTACAAAAAGTTGATAAAGCAGCAAGTTTGTAATAATTTAATGAAATTGTGATCTGTTTTACCGACATGACTAAGTCGCCACGGAAGTGATCAGTCATCTTTTCTGGAACTTAACGTTGCTCCCCGTACTCTGTATTAAAAAGACAAAGTGTCTCAACATTGAATATTTTTTCGAGTATTTACTTAGACAAAGTCGTGCGTATTTCGTGGAGTTTAAACGTGTAAAAAATCATCGAAAGTCTCCATTTGACCTACGTGGTGTCTGTGAGTTTTGAAGGAGGCCATCTTTGCAATCTCCTATCAGAGGTCCTTGGCTCGAGGTTTCATTGTCTGGTGAAAAGCCAGTATTTATTACACATACACTCCGTCAAATGGCTTTAAAACGAATTAATAAGGTATGTTAGAGTTTACAGTGAAAGTGATGTTCGCATGTGGTGGCAGATCGTCTCGTTAAAATTGTTTTTGTGCCAGTTAAACGCCCTTAACGATTTTGCATCCGACACTGGAATACCGTTTAATCCGGTTTTTTCAAACACGATTAACCTCCACCACCATTTTCGGCCCCACAAAAACCGTATAAAAGCCATTTGGCAGCTCGTGACAGCGTTTGACCATTTTCCTCCTTATCAAATGGCACAAAAATGCCGGATGTAACGTAACGATTGACCAAAAACTGCGATTTTCACGCATTTCTCGCATTGTGGCTAATTTTAAGTGATCTTTCACGCTTCTAACCTCTCCATATTAGGGCCCCCACTTTCAGGTGTCTATTATTAACCCGATACCTGTTCAAGTGGATTCCTACTAACTGTTCTTGTCTTTCAGGAACTACAAGACCTCGGCAGAGATCCTCCCGCACAATGTTCAGCAGGACCTGTTGGAGATGATTGTAAGTGTGGAAATTATCGTAAAACTTGTCCTAAAGCACGTCTATGTTTATTACAGTATTTCACTGGCAAGCCACAATTATGGGACCAGTAAGTTTACTTTTTTTACCCCACATTTAGCAACAAAGCTATTAATAGACTTTTCATTTATTTATTATGCAAACATTGGACTTATTGATTTGAGTTTTCGATTCAAAAATGAGTCAACTAGTCCTGTTGTTTCATATTCATAATTACATTGGGGCGTTTTAAGGCTTCCGATTAAATGAGTTTTCTTTGCAGCCTGATAGTCCATACCAAGGAGGAGTATTTTTTTTAACAATTCATTTCCCAACAGACTATCCGTTCAAACCACCTAAAGTTGCGTTTACTACAAGAATTTATCATCCAAACATAAACAGTAATGGTAGCATTTGTCTTGATATACTACGTTCGCAGTGGTCACCAGCACTTACAATTTCAAAAGGTATGTTATCTCACTTTCTCGAATAGTTCGATTTTATTGTCATGTGTGACTCAAAATTCACTCCATAATCAGAAATGCTGTCGAAACTATCAAAAATGATTGTGGATGCCAGTGAATTGAAAACCAGAGTTTTTAGTAATCAATTATGTAACAAAAACACTTTCCAATACAATTAATGTATGCCACATGTGTGCATGCATGATTTTCAAGTGGAGTTTTGTCAATTTTTCATTTACAAAGCACGTTGGTAATTAATATAAATTTTTATCATGTAGATGACTACATGTTATTGAGGTCATTGTTTATTAATTAAATCGGATTTAATGGATTTTGTTATTTGTTTACAGTTTTTCCTGTTCTCTTTTTTTTGTTAATACAGTTACTATTTGGATGAATCTAACTGTTAAAACGTCTAAATGAAACAAAAATTTCTAGATATAGCAAAACTACGCTTTAGATTAATAAATTTCAATGATTATTTTTACAAAAATAGACAGTTTTGATGAGTAATTCCACTTTGATAAGCAATAAGTAACGTTTGTTGTGTACCAGGGTGACCAACTTTAGAAAATTTAACATCAGGACATTAATAATAGCGTTACAAGAGATTTTTCATAGCCGAGTTGTTTATAACATCCAGGGAAATAATAAATGTAAGGCTATAAAACACAACGGTGATATAACCTTACTTAATTATTATTTTTGTTAATTTTTTATTACCTACACTTGAGTGCAAAAAAACGCAAATTGATTTTTTTTATAATGTAATTTGGCCTGTTAATAAATGCCAGTTTTTTGACGTTGTTTTTTTCACAATTTACAATTTCTGGCATCTTAACTTCTATCAAGTTTTTCCATGTTTTTCTATTTCGTTTTTAACACTGATACTGGCAAGACCACCAAATATGACCTTTCTTTTGATAGTTTCCTAACCTTTTTCATACTATGTAACTCTCTGAAAAATTTGACAGTTTTATTTTTGACAATTTGCGTTTTTTTTGCACTCAAGTGTACAATAATATACTTATGTTGGAAGTATTATTTTATTGTTTTCGTAAATGAACTTATATTTTTTTTAGTTCTGCATTTATTAAAGTAATTTTCTAACTTTATAATACGAAATACTTGTTAAAATAACAAGAAACTGCAAAGAAATAGAAAAAAGTCTTAAAATTCGTTCTATTACCGGTAGAATTCCAACATAATAATAATAAAGCGGCTTTATTGAATTGTACGTATAACAAATAAACAGAAAAGTAAATTAATAAAACTGAAAAAATAAGCAAAGAAGAAGTTTGACTAAAATTATGAAAAACTACTCAAAAAGAAAGAACAGAAAATAAAACAATAAGAAAATAACAAAAAGCAAAAGTAAAAAACTAGAAGTACGAAAAATGTTTTTTTTTTACTTTTTGCGAAAATTGTTCACTGAAAGTTTTTCTTTAAACAAATGAGAAGAATTGTATAACTTTATTGTACTGTAGGAGAAAGATCTTTTAAATATTGCTGTTTTAAATGACAGGGTTGCTTTATTTTTTGAGATGGTCAAAGAAAGAGGTGGGGTTATTCCTATGATTTATAATGAGGCATTTTAAGTCTTTTTTATTTGATTTTGTATTAATTTCATCACGAAATACTTCTGTTAATACTTAGTTCTACTAAATACATTTTTATCAATGTTATACCCTACAATATCGGTATTTACCCACCTCTAATCCATTAGTGCCCTTGGTCAATAATAAAAATGATTATTGTCTTTTAGGAGAGAAAAACAACTTCACAATCTCTCAATAAACTAAATAATGTTTATTTAACTTTATTTTTAATTTTTTTAAATGTAATTTTCAAATTTTTATTTATACTTTAGTAACGGTCTATTTAGTTTCTAGTGTTCGAATAAGTAATGAAGTAATGCGTAATATGTCATCGATAAAACATTAACATTTTTGCAGTTTTTTGAAACTTTGCATATAATTTATCATTTTATTCAAATAGGTTTTAAAAATTTTAAAATTTTAATACTATTGCACACATATTTTGTACAAATGCACCTTCATATAACAAATTTTGTGTTGATAAATAACTTATTACGATTAATACTGCGCTGTAATGTAATAAATTTACTTTGTTTGCTACTTTGACATTTATAACCTTTATGCGATATCCCTAGGTAAATAACAGTTTTCTTGATATAATTTCTCTTCGTTTTTTTGTTTTGTATGAGGTGTTGAGACTTAAAATTTATTGTGAAATTTGACACACCTAATGAGAATTTAATATGAAATAGGTTGAAACAAAATATTATTATTTTTCATCAGTTTTATTGAGTCATAACTGTTATGAATTATGTTTTTTAACTACAAACGTACGTAATCCAGTCAGTTGTTATTGTTTTTAATATTTATTAGAGCGAACACGTTTTTTTTGTATTTTTATTGTTTTAATATTAAGTGATTCAAGAGTTGATTTTATTGCGTGGGGAATTTGTAACAATTTTTTATTGGTCAATGTTATCACAGTTAATAATACTAGGTGAACAGAGAGTATGCAATTTAACGTTTTTTCTAATTTTTTGTTTTTGAGTTCTGCAAAATTTTTAATTTTATTAAATGGCAAAAAATTACAAATGTTACTTTTTGTTCACTTCTTGTGGTGTGAATAGTTGGTAGGGTGTAAATAGTGAATAGTTGTAGTATTGAGTGTGTTTTTTGTTTCAGTACTCTTATCAATCTGCTCACTTTTGTGTGACCCGAATCCAGATGATCCCTTAGTACCAGAAATCGCTAGGATATATAAAACCGACCGGGAAAAGTACAACGAGCTAGCCCGCGAGTGGACTCGCAAATATGCTATGTGATGCCCCGGCCCCCAAACCCCACACTTCACACTTTAGATAAAAACAACTTATTTAATTGCAACACTCGGGGGGGATAAGCCAGCGTCGATAATTTCTGTCAAACAAGTTGTATATTTGCTTTGGACTGTGCTCCCTCCGTCACTTACTACCACAGTATCCATTGGGGTTTTTAAAGTGTTCAAAAATCATTTATAATCTACATTAAATTTGAAATTCTTTTGTTTGAATATATTGTGGTTGTAAGAAGTCAAGTGTTGGGTTGCGTTTTTCTTTCCCACTTGCACCCGACTTCCTTGCTGCTGATGCTGGAGAGTAGTGAAAGTGCGTGTTGCTTGTTTGTTTGATATAAACACTCGGCAGGCATTTTTAGTACTTGATTTCAACGTCGGGTCCCGGATTTTCTATCCAACGTATGGATGACACTCATATACTAATATAATTGTTAGATAAATTAATATGTAGGTTTTGTGGTTCAACTAGGTGTATTGTAATAAATGATTTTTTTGCAATTTCTCTACATTCTATACATGTTTAAAGTTTTTAATCTTCTAGATCTCAGATGTCTAGTTCTATTCGGCTAAATTTTAAAGGTGAGATGACTCTTATCGGCATAAACGTTTAGTTTACACTGAAGTTGACCAATGAGCAAACAGAGCGTTCACAATTTTGACATCTGATCGTTATTTTTTAAAACAAGTGGCAGTTTTGTTTGCTCGATTACACTCTAGAGCAATTCCCCAACACTTAAAAAATTATTCAGACAAATCGTAGAAAACCGATCTTGGCAAAATTTTTCAAATAGATTAAGTATAACGTAATTTATTTCACTCAGATGTGAACACTTGTTTATTTGCAGTTATGACTGTACTATTTAAACCATGTAAAACTTTTTATACATAAATATAATGTGTAAAATAACGAATGTAATAAATAAGAGATTGCTTCCTGTCCCTCGTGAAATCTGATTTCCGGGACCCCCACGCAGGGTTGTCTCCTCCCTTACTTTTATTGAGACACAATTATTCTCATTAAATTATTCAGTGTATAATACCAATTAATTAGGAAGGATTTGTTACATAATATATATTTTTTCTCCGCAATTATCAGGAAATTAAAATAAAATACAGTTAAATCTGTTGTTTTTTATTGGTGTTGTATGTTGGTGGTTTTACTGAAAGTGAGAGTGACGAAATTCGGCAATTTAAATTATTTTTGTTTACCGTTTTGTTTGGTTTGTGTGGATAATAAAACATTGTAACTGGAAAATAATTTTTTATTCTTCAGGACATAAAAATTTTTTCAATACTGACGTCTTGATGTGATAAAATCCACATGGCGAAATTTCTAAAATTAAAGTGTTTTCAGGACTAGTAATAATTTCAGCAAATATTGATGTACAAACTAAACCGCATTCGACGGTGATCGATTTTTAAAAATACTTGTCCTAGAGATTCAAAAAGTGCATAAAACGACTTTGAAGATTTACAAATTTACTAAGTTTTTAAAGGTGAGTTCGGTAGTAAATTGTAAAAATGATTGATTTTTACTTAGAAGAAAATTAAATGTGCTTTCAAACAGTACCAAAACATAAGGAGCTATCACTAATAATTCCAGAATTATTGGCGGTAGACCACTCCAAGTATCGAAAATCGAAAAAATCAAAATAATCACCTTTCAAATGAATCCATAGAACTTATTTTACATTTCTAGAGGTCTTAAAGACTCAATAAAGTGCATAAATCGTTACTGGGTCAAGTTTAAAAAATTACGAATTTTTTTTACCTTAAGTCGTAAAATCACTTGAGATGTAGTTTTGTAGACGTTAAATTACGCGCTGAACACGATGCTACCAGTTAAAATACTCTACGATGTATAGTTTTTGAGATATTGAATAATAAAGTTAAGAATAAGGCTAGAAAATCCGATTTTGACCAAAATATCAGAATTTTTTTATTGTTATGAAAAACTAGTACTATATGTAAAATTAACCGGAGAACACGCCTGTACAAACCGTTTTGACCTAGGACTCAAAGTTTTTGAGATATGATTTTTTTTAATAAAAACTCTAAAACTATACTACAATGATATAATATTTTGACGTGAGCCTATGTAAAATGTTCCGGGGAATCGATTGGCGTCAAGAAAACTGCAAAAATTCCTAATAGTTTTGAAGTTATAAGCGGATTTTTATTTTTGATATTTCTGACTTTATCAGAAATTTTCTCGATAACTATTCATCGTAGAGCACTGAACTTCTTAGTATATGATAGAAAATTCAGTTTTCTGTTCAACGGTACCAAATATAAGAGGTTATTTCCAATAAGTCCGGAGTTATTGCTATTAGACCGCTCCTAGTGCCAAAAATCGACCAAAATCCAAAAAAATTTTATCTTTAAAATTGATCTATTTAACGTTTTTTACATTTCTAGAGGTCTTAAAGACTCAAAAAAGTGCATAAAACGTTATTGGGTCAAGTTTAAAAAATTATGAATTTTTTGAATTTCTGAAGGTGAAATAGTCAATTTACCTTAAGTGGTAAAAACGCTTGAAATATGGTTTTCTAGACGTAAAATTACGCCCTGAGCACAATGCAACAAGTTAAAATACTCTACGATGCATAATTTTTGAGATATTGGGTAATAAAGTTAAGATTTAAAAGATTTTGCTGTCGTAAATTTTAAAATAGACGAATTGGCTCATTTTTATCAGAAATAAGATTAATAATTTTGATATAATTTTAAATAAAATAGCTATCACTAATTCCGGAGTTATAAAGTACCTACAGTTTTTTAAACAAAACAGTAATGAGCTCAAACAAGTTTTTTTTTCTTTGTTTTGTTAAAAAATCGAATAATATTATGTTTTATTAACGATTGTTTTGCTTTTATAATACATCATTGTCACTTGAAACAGATTTTATCGCATAATGTTGTTACACAAAATGAGAGAGAAGTTTTTTTCTGCAATTCATTATACTTTTGATTATTACTTAAAATTAAACTTTAAATGTTGACCATCACAGTTATCTATTTATTTACTCTAAATTCCGTATTGTTATCAGTTGTGCAAGACACAATCTTGAACAGTTTAATTTAAAACTTTCTCCGACATGGATGTACAAATAATCCTAGAGGGTCCCAAAATCTCACCCAATTCATACTTGAAACAAAATTTGGGCCAATTTTTCTTTGATTCCGCCACAAAATTTAAGGACCGGATATGTCAAGTAAGTCGTTAAAATAAATAAACTAAAATAACGAGACTTTATTTAGATTGATGCCAAAACCGATAAGAGCGAAACATTCCTAAGTGTTAAACAAAGAAGTGTTAGAGTCGCTTTGGAGATGCAAAGCCGCGGAATAACACCAAATGATGTGATTTTGACTTGTTCTAGAGTAACTCTAGACACACCAATTCCCATAATTGCTGCTTTTTATCTCGGAGTTAAAGTTGCAAACTCAGACCCAACACTTTCAGTGACACAAACGGCTCATATGTTATCACTTGTAACCCCAAGAATGATTTTCGTCGAAGAAACCTCAATCAATATAATTGAAGAAAGCCTCAAACACGCAAATCTTCACTCAGAGATTGTTGTTTTTGGAAAATCGGACAAATATCCAACACTTGACCATTTTGACCAACCCAAAGAAGATGAAGACAAATTTCACCCTCTTTCTGTCAATATTCACGACACAGGTGTGATGTTTTTTAGTAGTGGCACCACAGGACTCCCGAAAGCTATCTGTCACAGCCATTTCAGTTTCCTAAATCTTAGTTCTTGTTTTTGGTAACAAAATTTTAACAAATCGAATTAAATTCTACTGTAAGTTTTAGCGAATCAGCACTTAAAGTTGACACTACACTTTCTTTTACTACATTTTATTGGATATCAGGACTCATGATGTTGACTTGCTCATTTTTAAAAGGTGGTTGTCGAATTGTCTGTAGTAAAGTACCAGAAGCTAAAGACGTTTTTGGAATAATTCAAAAATATAAAGTAGGTGTTTTGTGACACTTAATATTTCTCTAATTTTTATTATTTAGGTAACTTGCTTGTTTTTGGCACCAATTTTAACGTATCCTCTCACAAATTTTGAAAATAGTGGTAATTTTGACACTTCTTCGCTTCATTCAATTTTAACAGGTGGGACTGCTATAAGCGAACAACAAATGCGTAAACTTTACACTACTTTTAAACACACTTGTGTTTTATTTGCCTACGGGATGACCGAAATTGGAATGGTTGGAATGTTTATACCAGAAAATGATAAAGCTATAATGGCGAGAAAACTGACTTCTTGTGGGAAAGTCGCAATTGGGGTTTCACTGAAGGCACGAATTTCATCTCTCACTTCAATTTTTACCAGATTTATTTTAGTTGGTCGATATTGAAACCAATAAAACGCTGGGTCCGAACCAGAAAGGGGAATTTCGGGTCAAAACCCCTTTCATGATGAATGGGTACTACAAGGCCGATTGCTCTGATATTTTCGACGAAGATGGGTTTCTCAAGACGGGAGATGTGGGTTATTATGACACAAATGGGTGTTTATACATTGTGGAGAGACTTAAAGAAATGTTCAAGTATCTATCATGGCATATAGTTCCTTCGGTAATTGAAAATGTCTTGCTTGAACATCCTGAAATCAAAGAAGCGGCTGTTTTTGGGATGCCTATAAATGAAGAAGTTGGGGAAGCACCAGCGGCGTGTGTGGTTTTGCACAATGGAAGTAAAGTAAGTGAAGAGGAAATTGGGGAGTTTGTTGCAAGTAAGTTGTCGGATCGAGAGAAACTGAGAGGAGGGGTCTTTATAGTCGACGAACTTCCAAGAACACCAAGTGGGAAGTTGAGGAGACGAGACGTTAAAAATTATATTTTAAGTTTAAATGAAAAGAACAAATAAAGTAATGGATAATGATCTATAAATTTCTGTATTTTTTTGTTGTAAAAAAACTGCTTAAATGAATATTGACTTTCAATTTTTTTTAGCTTTGTCTGAATTTTTTATTTTGTAATTATTAATTTTTCATCTTGTTTCTTTTTTTCTCACTTTATTAATTCTTTATATTGCATTGTATTCCATTGTATTTTTTATTTTCTAATTCAAGTTTTAGAACAAAAGTTTTTGTTTCACTAGATTTTTTCTTTCTCTTCTATTTTTACTTTTTTGTTTTATGCATCGTGTCTAGAAACTACAGCCTTGTTTTTTACGAGGGGTCTTTGTAGTCGTCGAACTTCCAAAACACCGAGTAGGAAGTTGAGAAGACGAGACGTTAAAAATTATGTTCTAAGTTTTGAAAAAAAAATGTAAATAAAAAGAAGAAATAAAGTAATGGATAATGATCTATAAATTTCTGTATTTTTTGTTGTAAAAAAAGTTACTTAATTGAATATTGACTTTTCCAAATCTTTTTAGCTTTCTATGATTTTTTATTTTGTAATTATTAATTTTTCATCTTGTTTTATTTTTTCTCACTATTAATTCTTTATATTGCATATTTTATTTTCTAATATCACTACTTCGAAATTTTCTACTTTTCTAAACAAGATTTCTTTGACTTTGAATTTTATTTGTTGGCTTTTTCGTTTTGTATTTCATTTCAAAGAACAAAACTTTTATTTTTTATTTTGGTTATTCCATAGTATTTTTTATTTTCTAATTTTCAAGTTTTAGAACAAAAGTTTTTGTTTCACTAGATTCTTTCTTTCTCTTCTGTTTTTATTTTTTTGTTTTATGCATTATGTCTAGAAACTACAACCTTGTTTTTTACGAGGGGTCTTTATAGTCGACGAACTTCCAAGAACACCGAGTGAGAAGTTGAGAAGACGAGACGTTAAAAATTGTATTTTAAGTTTTAAAAAAAATGTAAATAAAAAGAAAAAATAAAGTAATGCATAATGAATGATCTATAAATTTCTGTATTTTTTTGTTGTAAAAAAGTTGCTTAATTGAATATTGACTTTTTCAAAATTTTTTAGCTTTACCTGACTTTTTTATTTTGTAATTATTAATTTTCCATCTTGTTTCTTTTTTTCTCACTATTAATTCTTTATATTGCAGATTTTATTTTCTAATATCACTACTTAGAAATTTTTTCTTTTTCTAAACAAGATTTCTTTGACTTTGAATTTCATTTGTTGGTTTTTTTCGTTTTGTATTTCATTTCAAAGAACAAAACTTTTATTTTTTATTTTGAGTATTCCATAGTATTTTTTATTTTCTAATTCAAGTTTTAGAACAAAAGTTTTTGTTTCACTAGACTCTTTCTTTCTCTTCTGTTTTTATTTTTTTGTTTTTGCATTATGTCTAGAAACTACAGCCTTGTTTTTTACGAGGGGTCTTTATAGTCCACGGACTTTCAAGAACACCAAGTGGGAAGTTGAGAAGACGAGATCTTAAAAATTATATTTTAAGTTTAAATAAAAAGAACAAATAAAGTAATGGATAATGATCTATAAATTTCTGTATTTTTTTGTTGTAAAAAAGTTGCTTAATTGAATATTGAATTTTTCTAATTTTTTTAGCTTTCTCTGACTTTTTTATTTTGTAATTATTAATTTTTCATCGTGTTTCTTTTTTTCTCACTTTATTAATTCTTTATATTGCAGATTTTATTTTCTAATTTTACTACTTCGAAATTCTCTACTTTTCTAAACAAGATTTCTTTGACTTTGAATTTCATTTGTTGGCTTTTTTCGTTTTGTATATCATTTCAAATAACAAAACTTTTATTTTTTATTCTGGTTATTCCATTGTGTTTTTTATTTTCTAATTCAAGTTTTAGAACAAAAATTTTTGTTTCACTAGATTCTTTCTTTCTCTTCTATTTTTATTTTTTTGTTTTATGCATTATGTCTGGAAACTACAGCCTTGTTTTTTACGAGGGGTCTAAAAAAAACTAATTCCATTTCCAAAATAACTCCACCGAAATTTCAGTAATTCTAATAATTCATCGTCATTTCACTGTTTTCAGATTAATTTCTGTAGTTTCGAACTAATTCCTGTAATTCCCACTTAATTTTCGTACTTTCAAAATAATTCTTGCAATTCCAAATTAATTCTGATAATTACAATAAGAAAGTCGGAAATTTTGAAAAGAAATTTCAAGTACCTATTCTTAAAGTTCAGCAAATCTATTCGAGCTGGATGTATTAATCTGGATAATATTGAAGAAAATGAAGGTAAGTCCAAATCAATTTTCAAAATAATACAGTAAAATATTTAAAAAAATGTATTGCATTGCGATAAGATTTATTAAGATTTATCTTAAAATGATGCGTAAATCGTAAAGATTGTAAAGAAAATATAAATAAAAAAATCTTATAGAATTAATTTCTTTACAAATGGACAAACAATTTTTTTCTTTCTTTAACCGCTCTGGAGTTTAAAATCGTAGAAGATTTTTTTTTATTATTTTGTGTTTTTCACTTTGTTTTTAGTTCACAAAACAAGTTTTGTTATAGCTTCGCATTTTTATAATTTCTCATTTTCTAGCATTTCTTGGCGTTATCTCATGCCTTCTGTGTTATGTTTATAAAATTTTCCTCAATTAAATCCCTCAATGGTTTAAAGTTATTATTTTTTTCCTAATTCAATTAGTGACACCTGCCGTACTATTTGTGGAATCATGCAAATTGGTATTAAGTATCTTATTGTTAAATTGCGCCTAAAATATTTATAAACAAATATATTATTTGGTAAATAATATTTTGCGACAAGGGTATAATAAATGCACACGATGCAATAATAATAAACAAAATAACAAACACCTTATATTTATAAAAAATATAATATTTTTTTAAGTTTTATTTTCTAATAGAGTAATCAATATCAGGAATGTGCGTAATACTACTAAAAAAACATCGATTAATGAATGAATAATGAATAAAATCAATAATTAGCATCGTGACTCACTCGTCGGGTTGTCATCCCAAAATAACTTTCCATTTACCAAACTAGAGAAATATTTTCCCCCAAAATTAGCAACAATTACGGACTGATTCCTAGTGACAAATACGATAGTCAACAATTATTAAGACACTACCTTTTCATGCAAACCAATTAAAGTTTTAATTATATTTTAATATAAAATTGAGGGTTGATTTATTTCCTCCCTCACATTATCAATATAATTTTTTTATAAACACTAGAAACGGTAATTTTTGTGAAAAAAAATAGTAAATTACACATTGGGTGTAAATTACGTGTTCATGGAAGCGGTAAATTTGTTTATGCGGTGTTAATATTAAAAGGCATATAAATATGTGAGCTGCAGTCTGAAAAGCATCACAGAAGAATAAAGTACAAGCGAGAAAGAGTGACTAGAAAAGAAAAAAATGGCCAAACAGATTATTCTGGTGAGTTTAATTTTTTATTTATTTAATTTTTTATTTTTACATTATTTTTTGCAGATTTTTGTAATTTTAATCGCTTTTTGTGCGTTTACTATTTCCTACCCTGCTCCTGACGCCGTTTTCGAGCCGGAATTCGCCCTTCGGGACTACTCGGGCGAAAGACGAAGATACAATTTAATCCCCGAGTACGATTTTGGCGAAGACCAAGCCTTGCATCATTCCGATGACGCTTTCCCCACTGTTACATAAGAAAATTTCGTGTAATAATAAAATATTTATTATC